ACCTGTGAGTTCACATAAGCTTCTTTGCTTTGTAATTATCTAGCACCGAGTATTTTGATACAACGACAGAAAACAGACCAAGACGGCCATGTTTTTCAGTAACAAATAGAGACGAAGGGTGTGTGTTCTTGCAAGGGAGGAGGGGAGGTGGCCACCTGGATTAATAGTGTGACCTTTCAGAGAGGTGACCTTCCTGAGTGGGGTCTGGAAGGAGGTGGGTGGCAAAGGTGAGAAGGGGAGAGGAAGTTCTTACTAGAACATTTCTGTTAGGAGAGCGGAGCTGATTGTGAGTTGTTCTGAAAATACACAGACAAACAGACACACAGACAGGCAGACACACACAGACACACAGACAGAAAGATAGACACACAGACAGACAGACAGACACACACACACAGAGCCCCTCATCCTTAGAGTGAGCATAGAGCCAGCGACACAGGGCACCTCAGATTCCTCCCAGTGGGTGAGTGGGAGGGTCTTGTCTTGAGCTAGATTGGGTTGGGAGTTACAGTGTCTCCTGCTAAAAGGACTGAGACCTAGCTCGAAGACTCTGGCCCCTTTTCAGTATCTTGTTTGGTCCCCCCCACCCATTCTTGTAGCAGAGCAGGTGTTTCCCAAGATTTGTCAGCCCCCTAAAAGAATCTGGAACAATGAACCTTCCCTTCCTGATGCCTCCTCAGAAGGTGATGGCTTCGTCTTCTGCCTCAGCCATGTTTCCTAGTTTCTCTGACCTTGTAACAAGGGATACATGGGCACCTGGCTGGCTTCTCCAGAAAAATCTGCTCCCATAACTTTCTCAGCAGGGGTCTCTCTCTCTCTTTATTTGGTGGAGAAATAGGTCCACAGGCCAGTGAGCCCACGATGGGCAGGTTCCTCTTCAGCTTTTTGTCTACGCTATCATCTTTTGACCCTTGCCTGGAGCTCCATCCACTTGGGTTGTCCTTGGGGTGAAAACCGCTTCTCTTCTGTGTCAATTGATTTTTCCCATGACACTTGATTCTCATTTTTCTCATGTGGTGGGTATACCCCACTCTTCCCCTCCCCAGCCCCACCTCTGTGTCTTCCCAGCCTTCCACATTCCTGAATTCTGTACAGGGTCCATGTGATCTTGAGTCTTTATGCCCTGTACAAGCTGCAGTCACCTGTGCCACAGTGGCCACTTCTCAGGAATCCCAAAGACCGCGTGGACATTTTAATCCCAGTAAGTCTTGAGAGAACAAAGGGACACAACCCATGACCTAAGGCAGTGGGTCCCAAAGGATGGCCAAGAGTCAACAGTTTCACGGGTCAAAGTTCATATGAGATAAAAGCATGCCAACTTCAATTTGGGACCACTGTGAGCCTTTAGGATGCCAGTGTCTCTGAGGGCAGTGCAGGGGCCAGTTCCAAGTTCAGTCCATCCGGGAGCTTCTCTGTGAGGCTCCAGGACCTACCAAGGGAAGCCTGCTCTCATGACCTACAGGGCACTCAGGGACACTGGACAGACACACAAAACACCATGCATAGCACCATGCATAGCTCACATAGTGTGTGGTGGCAGCTCAGGCTGTCACATATACAGCAGGGAGAAGTCTGGATATAAAAATCTATAAGCAACGGACTCGTGGTGGGAGGACTGTAACTTCCCTGACATATTTTGCCGGTTTCCAGAACTCTGAGAGTAACTGGATGGGAAAGACTTTGCTCATAATTAGCCACATGGGAAGAAGTGATGTGCTAAAGAGAGGATTCCAACATACAATTCTTAACCATTCGGGACATGTTAGCAAGAGACGTGCAGACAGGACCCTCGCCCTGGCCAGGGTCCCAGCTGGTGGCAGGTGGCGTGACTGCAGGCTGCAAGGGAGGCAGCGCATTAAGGGAAGCTCCAAAGAGGTGGGAACTGCAGGCAGGAGCTGGGCATGCACGGTAATACCTTTGCTGACTGAAACAGTGACCTGACCCTTCCCTTTCTAGCACATTCTACACACTGCCCTGAACAGGAACCCAGGGGTCAAGGAGGAGCTGAGGCAGTTCGTGATGATCAGCTCAGGGCTGAGCGCAGAGGTGGTCAAGAGGGCAGGAGGGCAAGTATGTTATTTCCAGCCATACCGCCATCTGTGAAGACAAGATTTCCTTCTTTTGATGCTCCGACCTGGCTCCTGGAGAGATGTGCGGAGTTGAAGGTCGAGGCTGATGGGCCCGTGGACCCCAGATGTGAGGAATAAGAAGCACCTCTCTAAAAGGAGCTTAAACTCTGCCTATCACAAGGAAGGTTGGCCTAGGAAGGATACTCCCATCACAGGCGTGGGATGGATCCCTCAGAGGCTCCAACCTTGAACTTCCATCCTCCTCTTTTCTGAGTTATTCCCCGGCAGTAGTGTTCCATGCATGCTCCTCATGATAGTGCATACATGTACTTATGTATGCATGAGTGTATAATGTCATATGTGCCCATGGATACATGTACATTAGGAGGACTGACCAGGGGATGGATCTGAGGGCTCAGGACCACAACCACGGGGACACACCTGACTAGCTAGAAAACAGTTGACAACAATCAGTGGTCAGTGTCAGGTTTAGAACAGCCATGCAGCAAATGTGACTAGGAGACCGTGTCTATGTTACGTAACAATGACGAAAAGGAGCAAGGGTGTGGGAGACATTGGCCATGGATCCACACAGACGAGCAGCACAGTGAAGAGCACCACAAGGCGACATAAAATCCTGTGTCTGGTGCGGAAAGAAAGGCTAGCTAAGGCTGGGAAGAGGGCTCCATGGGTAAAGTGCTTGCCAGGCAAACACGAGGACCCAGGTTCAGTTCCCAGGACCCAGGTAGAAATGCTGGGTGTGGCAGTGCATGCTTGTAATCCCACAGCTGCATTGACTGAGATGGGTAGATCACTGGGCTCTCTGGCCTACCAGTCTACCATACATGGTGAATTCCAGGCCAGGGAGAGAGCCTGTCTCAACAAAACAAGATGGGAGGAGCCCGAGACACGATACCTGATATTGCTGACCTCTGTGTTCCCCAGGCACATACACATGTGAACACACACACACACACACACACACACACACACATGCACACACACAGAGGAATGGCCTACCAGGAAGTAAGAACTATCGGCACACTCTTATTAAACTGGCAATTTCAATATGAATTCTCAAAACCAGGAATGCTCATGCTCTTTGGGGGCCAGGGCAAAATTTGCTCCCTTCCTTCTGGATTTGGGAAAAATATTTCAAGAAAATTCTATATTTCTGTACCAGTCACACAGTATTATTTATAAGAAGAGTAACATAAAGACATTCTTCCACAGGCATTTGGTTTAAGGGTTTTGTGGTTAATCTCCACATGTGATGGATTTATTTTATTTTTAATTATGCATGAACATGCCCAGTTAAAAAATTAATAAAAATGTGTGTGTGTGTGTGTGTGTGTGCACATTTGTTTGCCATACGAGTATAATGCCAGAAGAGGGCACCAGATGCCCTGGATCTGCTGTTCTTGGCAGTTGTGAACCCTCTGACTGGGATGCTGGAAACCCAACTTAGGTCCTCTGCGAGAGCAGTACCTGTTCTTAACCACTGAGCCATCTCTTCTGCCCCTACTGTCCATCTTTTTGGATGTGAGAAAAGAACATCACATGACTCTGGTGATGTAGAGTGGATCTGTGGAATTTACACTATAAATGGGTAGAGGAGGAGAAAGATGAGAACAGCTTGTCCTGAGGCAGAGAAAGGAGCTCCGATCTTCTTTAGATGGTTTGGTGTGATGTTGGACTTGATGCTGAGGTAACACACGTATGTCCTCAGCATGCGCCATAGGCAAGTGTGTAAGCAGTGTTGAAGATGTAGTCACCTGGGCTGAACCCTAAGAACAGTACAGAACTGGGGGAGGGGGGACTTTACGGCTGGTAACTAGAAGTCACAGAAATTGCCAGAACAAAGGCCACCAAGTTATGTTGGATATGGTAGATATTTGGGTGAGTTTCCGAAGGCCACCTTACACAGAAGGAGTTTCTGTAGGCATGTCTGTCTGTGCAGTGACTGCCTATCCAGCCCAAACAGATGTGTCCCTGGTGATCTAAGGATTCTACAGTTCTGGGGATGGGGAACAGAGCCCTGGGCATAGTGGGCAAACACTTTGGCACCCAGTGATGCCTGCAGCCTCACCCTTGTTAGTGATCCTTGCAGTGATATCTTGGACTGTTCTTCTTTCTCCCTGTGGTAATTTGAATAAAAAATGTCCCTCATATGTTCACAGGGAGTGGCATGTTAGGAGGTGTGGACTTGTTGGTGTAGTGTGCGGTTTTGGGAGTACGTGTGCCACTAGGAGTGGACTTTGAGGTTCTAGACGCTCAAGCCAGGCCAAGTGTCACTTCACTCCCTCTTCCTGCTGCCTGTGGATCCAGATGTAAAACTCTCATCTGCTTCTCCAGCACCATGTCTGCCTGTGTGCTGCCATGCTCCCCACCATGACAATAATGGGTCGAACCTCTGAAATGCAAGCCAGCCCCAATTAAATGCTTTCCTTTGTAAGAGTTACCGTGGCCATGGTATCACTTCATAGCAGTAGAAATCCTAAGATACCACCTTCTAACAGCTTCTGCTTGTCACCTGTACTTGAACATGCCTGCAAATTACAGTCCATCACAGTGTCTGCCTGCCAATACGATTATTACTGTGGAGAGTCTCTCTATTTATTATTATTATTGTTGTTGTTGTTTTTGAGACTGGGTTTCTCTGTAGCTTTGCAGCCTGTCCGGGAACTAGCTCTTGGAAGAGAGCTCAAACTCACAGAGATCCACCTGCCTCTGCACCCTCCCACCCCTGAGTGCTGGGATTATAGGCATGCGCCACCATTGCCCGGTCTCCAATTGTTATTTTGCTTAACACATAGCTATATGAGGAATGCCTATCAAGGATGCATCACCACCTGTCTGAACCCTTGCCTTCCCTCCCCAGAGCAGACCCCAGCAAGCACTAGTAATTGGCCTGTGGCCTCCTGTGGTTACCTAACAGTGCGCCTGCGGGTAGCTGAGCCGAGGGCTCCTTCATCCAGTCGTCATTAGCCAGCTCTATCACAGCATCCACAGGCTCCGCTTCAGTGCAGATCAGTTCCTGCACCGTGTCCTTGTCCCCACTGGCCAGGGCAGACTTTAATCTCCTCACGAAGTCTGAGCTAAGGGGGTAATCTGGTGGCGAGTCCCAGCTGGACATTGTGGTGTCCCTGTGTCGGGACCAGCCTTCTTTTCTTCTTCTAATGCATGTCCAAAGTTAGCCCTGTCCCCAGAGCAGTGCAGGTGGTTATAAATAGAACCAGGGCTGGTTACTGTCAGCAGGGAGGGCCCAAGCTGCCGCTGCTACCTCGATGGCAGGGCTGAGGAGGCGTCTTCCCCAGGGGTCACTGTGCAGGCTTCTACACGGATGGGCAGTAGGCAGTTCTGTGTGTTTGGAGAAGTGGTAAAGCTCTTTAGAGGGGGTGTTGTTTGAGAAGGTTTGATCAGTTACCTTTCTCTTTGTTGTAACTGAAAAGCTGGCAGGAAGCAGGAAGTAACAACAGTGGGGGGGAGTAGGGGGGCTGATTTTGGCTCACAGTTGGAGGGGCCACAGTCCTTCAGAGAAGTACAGGACAATGCAGGAGGGAGGGCAGGCATGGTGACAAGAGTGTGAAGCAGCTGTGCACGTCACTTCCACAGTTATGAAACATTGAGCAGACAGGAAGTGGAGCTTTGCTAAAAGTCCTCAAGGTCAGCCCCCCTCCCCACGATTCACTTCCTCCCATGAGGCTCCACATCCTCAAGGCTCCACAACCTCCAGAAACAATGCCACCAACTGTGGACCAAGTGTCAAAATGCAGGAACCTTTGGGGACATTTTACATTGAAACCACACCATGGGATCTTACTCTGTAATTGACGCTGACCTTGAACCTGCCATCCTCCTGCCTCAGCTTCTAGAGTGCATGGACAACAGGTATATGCCTCGTGGCTCACTTAGAGCTATTGTTGACTGTTTTCTTTCTCAAAACAGAAGCCTCAGAAACATCTACCTAACCTGGCTTTGGGTCTTCTGCTGTGTTTAGAAGGAGGATATGCTGGTATTCTCTATTATTTATTGATCGATTTACAGACATCATATATACAGTCCAGAATGACCTCAAACTTATTAGGTGCAACCTTAAACTCCTGAGCCTCCTGCCTCCTCCTCCCCAGAGCTGGGATAATAGTTGTGTGCTACCATATCTGGTTATGTGTGGGGCTGGGGCTGGAACCCTGGTTGTCCTGCAGGTTAGGCAAGTGCTCCATCCCCAGACCTGGCATCAGGGTCTTGAGTCTGCGCCCCGACATGCAGGCGATTTGCTATGTGGCTGGGGAGTGGCCACAGGGACTAGGGAAAGCGGGGGAAGGAATGTAGAGACACAGCGGCATTGTACAAAGCTGCTATCCAACCCCAAATCCGAAGGGAGGCGAGCGCCCGGCACTTGTTAGGCAGATAATAGGATGACAATGTCTCAAAATACGGCCCTCGCCGATCTTAATTACCCAGCGATCTGCTGGGTGGTTAATCAGCGGCACACACACTATGCTAATGATCCTGGCTAATTTTGTTATAATGTAATCCTTTATCAAGCCCGTGATGTATAAATTAGGAATTGAAATGTAACTAACACAAATTATATTTAAGGCAACATGCATTTCTTTATTTCAGTATGAAAATTTCTCATCTTGGCTTCTTTCTCGGATGAACTTTCCCTTGTGCCCCACCGCACTCCCCCATAATATGAGAAAGAAACCCAGTGCCATCAGCTCCTCCGCCCCCACTTACTCCTTAGAAACTATGGACGCCACTTTCTCCTTTAATGGTTGTCTTTGAAAGGTTCACAACACATAAGGCAATCATGGCAGGTGGATCCTGGCTTTCTCTAAAGCAGGGAGAGCTTCCTTGTTCTCTTTGAACTTTTAAACAATCACCGGTGGGGACGAAAGCCCCATATTTAATGGAACTGTTTTTTTCCTCTTTGTATGTATGCGGTGTATGTATACATTTGTGTGTATGTGCATGCGTGTTGTGGATGTGCATACATGTGTGTGGGGGGCAGAGGTCAACATCAGGTGTCTTTAGTTTTTCAATGATTCTATCTTATTTCCCGAGGCAGGGTCTTTCACTGATCCTGGAGTCCACTGGTTCATTGGCCTGGTTGACCAGTAAGCCTGTGTCTGTCACCTACAGAGCTGAGATTGTAACCTCCAGGGCTGGGGTTGTATGTGCTCATCACCACGCCCAGCTTTTATGTGGGTACCAGAGAACTCAGGTCCTCAAGTTTGCATGGCAGGCACTGCGTTGCCTGAGCCATCGCCTCGGACCTTTGTCTGTCTGCATTTATGATTGAACTTAGCCAATTCTGGGGGGTTGGCAGGACTGTGACACAAGGTGTGTCTATCTAGCTCAGTCTGGTTGAAACTTGCCATCTTCCTGCCTCAGTCTCCCCAGTGCTAGGGCTACAGGCATGAGCCATCACACCCAGTTGCTCAAGGTAGAGTGCTTAAGATAAAAGCCACAGAGTGTAGGTCCTATGGTTGAGTCTGGTTTTGTAAGAGGGACACACACACACACACACACACACACACACACACACACACACACAATGCTTCCTGTCTTTCGTCACATAAATAGCCATGACACCTTGGGATTCCACCAGCAAAAAGGCCATCACTAGATAAGACCTTTGACCTTGTACCTTCAGAACTTTGAGACACAGGAAAACTCTCTTCCTTATAAAGTTGCCTGCTTCGGGTATTTTGTTGTAGCAACGAAGAAGGGTCTGATTGATCTTTCTAGTGGCTAATATAGTGGTTTCCTGTAGTGAGAGCGGGAGAAGCCAGGAGCTTTACAGTCTGGCTAGAAATCTCTGATTTTTTCCTGGGTGTGTCTCTCACACCTTTTCAAGGGCAACAGTTTCAACCAAGACGTTAGAGTGAACCCCATTGTTCTGTGGCAGGATTGACTCGCCCATCAGCTTTGTGGGTGGCGGAGTGGTTTCCATGGCGGCCATTTATGCCCTGAGGGAGCAATGCCACTGGCTCATCTCAGTGTTTTGATGGCATGTGACACCAGCCAGGCATGTTAGATAGGTCGGTGACTCTGGCAGGAGCTTCTGCCCTGGGGGGCTTGACTTGGAGGCCTAAGCATTGGGCTGCCTAGATGGAGGTGAGGGTGTGTTCTTGGGTGAGAACAAACACTGGATTTCATCCACCAATTCCACTGCCCCACTGTGGGAGCCCACATGTGACTCCCTTTCCATCTGGAGTCATTTCTGACTTGAAGTCATTTGGGTTCAAGCCTGCCTGAACCTTGAGAGCTATGAGAGACTTCTGATTTAGCCTGTGAGAAAAGAATACTCTATCTAGTAGACAGTATGCTGCTGACGACAGACCTCAGGAACATCAAGATAGAAAGTGAGGCTGCTTCCAAGCAGCAGGCACGTGTTGCAGAGGAGGCTGCTCACTCCAGGACAGGAATGGTCTTGTGGTTAGATACGGACTGACCGTCTGTGCTGTGCTTTGTTCTGCTTTTGTATAGAAGCAAGTTCTGAAATAAACTCTGGGCTGTTTGGCTGCTTCGGCATGACCAGACAGACCTCCCGATTCTCTCCTGTCTTCTGTTTCTTCAGACTTTTCTTTGGCCTCGAGGATTCCCAATGCAGGAACCCTAGCTGATTTTGTAGGAGCGGACTCCTACACTGCACTTACTGTTTTGAGACAGGGTCTCACTCGGTAGTCTGAGATGGTCTTGAATTCATGGTGACCCCCTTGCCTCAGCCTCCTGAAAGGTGGCTGTAAATCCATACTTCTCCGGTAAACCCCTTCTGAATCCTGTCTTAGGCCAGGCACTGGCTGTGCGGAGAACATAGCAAACCGTACCCTACAGTTGGCTCTGGCATGTGACTGCACATTTCTAAAGTCCTGTGGCTGTCATTGTGCTTTATTTTCTCAGAGCTCAGGGGCAGGGACTTTTGAGTCCTCATTTAGCTCATGAGGACATGGGCAGGAAACCATTGGCTGAGGTCATACTACTTGTCCCAGTTAGGGTGACCATTACTATGATAAAACATCATGGCCAAAAGCAACTTGGGGAGGAAATTTATTCGGCTCACCTTCCATATCCCTGTACATCACTGAAGGAAGTCAGGACAGGAACTCAAGCAGGGCAGGAACCTGGTGGCAGGAGCTGATGCAGAGGCCATGGAGGGTGCTGCTTATTAGCTTGGTCCTTATGGCTTGCTCAGCCTACTTTCTTACAGAACCCAGGACCACCAGCCTAGGGGTGGCACCACCCACAATAGTCTGTGCCCTCCATCCCACATCAGTCATTAATTAAAAAAAAAATGCCCCACAGACCAAATCTATGGAGGCGCTTTCTCGGGTGAGGCCATCTTCTCTCACGTGACTCTAGTTTGTGTCAAGTTGACAGAAAATTAGCTAGCATGTTGCTTTTCTTCCAGAAGACCCGAGTTTATTTTCCGACACCCAGATGGTGGCTCACAATTGCACATCACTCCAGCTCCAGAGAATCTGACCCCCTTTTCTGACCTCCATGGGCACCTGCATTCAGGTGACCATAACTCCTACGATCACACATACACACACAATTAAAAATAATAAAGACAAATCTTGACAACACCATTTGAAAATCTTTAATATCCATTTCTTATAACATCTTGCAGTAAACTAGAATAAAAGTGTGGGTGAGTGTCTTTGTGGAAGTAGTAGCCAGCGTCTTAGCTGATGTGGGGGACATATTTTTCGCTCCTGTCAAAAGGGAAAATAAAGCAGCTCACACTGTCCCCATTTCCTGACTGTCTTGGTTTGGAACCAATTGAGAGGAGGCTCCAGACCTAGGGGGTCAGAGTGTCAGCCTCATTACTGATGAAGCCATCTGCAGAATGTCGCTTCCCATCTGAAGCCAGATGATCTTTCTAGCAATCCCTGAATTAGACGACAGCGTTCTCAGCCACTGCCGGCTTGCTTCCTCCTCGCATGCCTGACTAAAACTGGCCCCTCCTAGGAAGCTGAAGGAGCAAAAGATACTTCTCAGTAAGAACCAAAGAGAACCCATAAGGGACAAAGCCACGCGAGCAAACTCATTGCCCTAAATGAAATCCTTGCCAGGGAAATGCATGAGAGGTCAGACAGAGGCCAGGAGCATCCAGTAGTCTTGCAGGGATG